TTTTTTTTTTTTTTAGCGCACAGTGTGCGACTCCCTCAGTGCGCACACCACGCACTGCGGACAGCACTGTGTACTGCGCACACCGCACGGCGCACAGTGCGCGCGCTGTCGTTCCAGCGCACAGCGCAGTGCGCACCGCCCCGCACCGCACTGCGCACTGGTGCGCCGCAACTATGCTATGGACTGTAATGATCACGAAGAGGACAGATAAAGTAAAGAGAGGGGGTGAAGGAAGAACGAAGGGGAGGGCAAGGTCGAAGACAACCATTTCTGATAACAGCAAGAACAGGGATAAAGCACGAGGATAATAATGAGCTAACGGTGGAAAAGGCAGTGAACAGGTGGGGGGCGTACTTCTGGTGACAAAGTCTCATGCCAGCCATCATCCTGAGCTATGTTCACTTTATGGCTATGCCAGACCGCCTGTTCGAACACAACCGGGACTGATCCTGCCAAACACGACACACAGCTGATTTCTGAGTTTTGCCAATGGAATGTATGCCTTGCTGAGTTTTCCCCTTGTTGCTGAGTTTTCTAAGTCTGACTGTGTGTGTGCTTGCTGGTCTGCGTGCCTGTCTGAGTGCCGGTCCGTTTGAGTGTGTGTGTGACCCGCAAGGGTACCGTGCGGGGCCGGTACTTACCTGTGGCCGTGTGTGTGTGTGACCCGCAAGGGTACCGTGCGGGGGGAACAAAGGGCCGGTACTTACCTGTGGCCGTGACATTGAGCGTTGCAGCGGGGAAAACACTCAAGCGGCGGGGATAGAGGCCCGCGACACTAGGAGCAGAGGAAAAACACTCAAGTAGCAGGTGCCACACCCAGTAGAGGTAGATGTGCCGGGTACTCTAGTCCGAGCAGAGGAAGACGAAAGTTGGCATTTTTAGAGGCCCAGTAGTTGTAGGCTAGGTCTAGGCGGGTACCAGTCCAACCAGTCTTGCGTCTAGGGCCTGTACGAGCAATATCAGAGTGTGCAATGATGTTTCCCTCCGAAAGGGAGGAGGTACCCGTTGCTTGGAGGCCGCGCGGCCTAGGAAGTCACCGCCCAAGGGGCAAGCAGGCCGCTATATCTCCAGGAGGAGCAGAGTGCTCCTCATTTGTTGGCGTGCAAGTTTGGCGACACGCTGCTGGAGCGACCGGCCGACCAGCGCTAGCAGCAAGCAGCATTTGGGGAAGGAGGAGCACCCAGCTCTCCACCGTGGCTATGGTGGAAGGAGCCGGGCAGGAGGAGTGAGGAGGAGGCTAGTAGAGGGGAGCGCCAAGGGACTTACCTGGCTATGGTGGATGCCATCTTCATCACCTTGGTGGACGCTGAAGGCCCCACTGGTGTAGAGCTGCACCAAGAAGCTACGAGGCAGAGTCAGGCATGGCGGCCTGAACAGGAGCAGCCATAGCTGCTTTGTGTTGTCCTTTGCACAACTGGGCAAGGCCCTGGTAGTCCGCCATAGCCTCGGCCTTTGAGGAGGAAGGAGAAGGGTGTCCATGGCTATGGTGGAGCTCATGTGGTACCTGCAGTAGAAGAGGGATTCAGACATTGATTCTGGTTCAGCCATTCAACAATATTATTATTATTTATTGTTTGAATAAGAGGGGAGGAGAAAAAGAGGAGGAGAGTGGTTGGCGAAGAAGAAGGGAATTATCATTGGTCTTTGCTGGTGTACATCTCCTTCTTCTTCTTCCATTCATCTTCTTCTTCTTCTTCTTCTTTTTTATTTCCCTCTCTTTCCTCTCAAGTTCATTCATTTCCTTTTGCAATTGGACGGCATTATCCTTTCTCATGAATGTGTACTCCAAAATTGTCCAGGATCATAACATTGGTATCAGAGCGGATTCTACTTGCTGGTGAGAGTTGACTCAGCCACCATAACCCTAACCACTGTGGTTAGGGCTGACCTCTTAGGGTTAGGGTTGGTCCGAAGTGGGAAGTGTGGCAACGTTGGTTAAGGGAGCTGCCCCCACCTGGTTAGGTTGTGTTGTGTCAACACTAGACCTGATGAGGTTGATTGAGAGTGAGCTTGTGGTGGCGAGACACATCAAGAGGACAATTTGCGAGAGACGACAGTGAGTGGCACTCGCACCTGGAATCTGACCTAAGGGAGACACTTGGCGACTTGAGGGCCTCCCTCAAGTGGACGAGCTTGAGGAGACTACATCCGTTCAGAATGAAAAGACAAAGCACTGTAGAAAGATATGGAATTCAAAGCAAGATACTTCATCTCTCCATCCATCAGGTCAGCAAGTAGTTTGCACAACAATCCTCACAACCAAGACTTCAGAGGTGTAGGAGAGAGACCCAAAAGTACCCCACATGGGCAACCCTTAGGTGCACGACACTTTTACCTGAGTGGCCCAGACTTCGAGATGAAGTATCACCCCCCTTCCTCATATGGTCCTAGCCCTAATCGCTACCTCGACACTAGTGCCCTATCATGTAGGAGGGTCTGGCTCCAATACCAGTTGATTTTCGTTTTTCAATACAGTAGAGGCAGACAGTAGGACCTTGTGGTACTCTTCTTTGTTGGGACTTGGTTCGCGGCCTACATGGAACCCATTGGGACCCAGTGGGACCAGGCCCAAACA